CCTTTAGTCACCGGATTCCTCCTGGTGTATTTAAAGTTGGATATTAGAGATACAAAATTAGCAATAAGACTTGAGGGTGATATGAGACAGGCTGTGGATCTGACTTCAGGGGCATCCCTGGCCTTTAGAATATTTGGAAAGTTTTGGTGGCTCTAATGGCCACCAATCAGTGAACGTCTAGACACTCTTGCTAAAAGCTAGGGCCACTAAAACAACACCAGAAATCAAACTGGCTGCCAGCCCTTCTCTCTAGGATGACTAAAGCTAACTAGAACGACCAGGTGGTCCAGACCTCTGTCCTTGCACTTGCTCAGAACTATAATCCTTCACCTTGGGACTGTGGTGACCACTCGGGGCTGGGCTTCCACAGCTAAGGGAATAGAGCTTACCCCTCATTCCTGAGGACAAGGGTCTTCGTAGTCCTCTGGAAGGAGGAGAATAATCTGCCATGCCTTTACTGTATGTGAAATATAATCTCTCAGGAGATGCCTGCTCATGCTAACACAGACACTCAAATACTGTTTCATTCCCAGAAATTGAAAGTCTTTGGTAAGAGTAACACTAAACTATATGCTTAATTATGTACTCTTTCTATTATGTAGATCACATGTGTGTGTGTACGTGCGCATTTAAATGTAATGTATATGCACCCACATATGTTCATTCTAGGACAAGTTAATTCTGATGAATTCATTTGGAGAATCTCAAACAGGTCCTGGGCCCAATCAGCACCAAATCACAAACTCCCTTTCTGGAGTGTGTAAGTCTTCTGCAGTGCTATGAGAAAAATGCATTGAATATTACCAAGAACAGATTCAACCAAACATGTCTTTGAGAGCCCGGGGGCCCAGGCTCCTTGCTGAGACTTACAGATGACATGCCATTTAATCTTCATAGCAAAACCAATCCATCTGTGAGGTGGGTGTTACTTCCAGTTGCAGATGAAGAAGTACTGCTCAAGAGATGTCTTGGACTCAGGGAAACAGTGGGTGAACTCCAGAAAGATAATAGAGAACCCAATAAGAGGAAGTAGGCGTGGTTAAAATGTCAGGAGAAATTTTGGCAACAAAGACAAGCCAAATGGTACAAAATCATCTCCTAACCACCTTGGAGGGCTTTCTGAGTTTGCAGGAATACATGCTAGTGATGCCACACAGGTTACCAGTCTCAGAGACTGTATTCTATTAGTCAAATAACAAATTATTCAGAGCTGAGAACTAAGTGCATTTTAACACAGGGGTCTGACTACTAACAAGGGCATGGTGTAACCTCTGCTGTTCTTGCAAATTAGTGCATTTTTTTTTTTGAGGCTGAAACGTTAACTCTTTCTCACTTGGACACCTACAATTTCCATTTCCCAGTGGCAGTTCCTATTCAAGTTTCTTATTTCTCAAACAAAACTTCCCAGTTACCACATGATACACTACAGTATGGCGGCACTTAATATGCAAATTACCCACATAACTTAATATTATCCTCCCTCCTGTTGCTCTTTAATTTGACGTCGAACAGCTGAGGTTTGAGATTTTAATCAAAGAGCATAGAATAAGGCAATTTATAAAATCAGATGGACTTTTTTCTTCCAATTGTTTCATTCACTGTTTAGAGCTATCAAATTGGAGGGTCGTCTTACAAATGCGTTAGCTGATTGCTACCCCTCCAGCTTGACCGTGCCTAAATGCGGGCTTGCTTTCAAGTGTTAGGAAATGATGGGAGAAGCGGAGCCTGCAAGCTCCAGCCCGATGGCTAATCCAAGGACGGCTACTTATGTTTTAAGTCTCATTTTCATCGTCTGTGAAATGGAAATTAATGATTGTGCCTCCTTCACATGGTCCTCGAGAGGACTGGATGAGGAACCCACGGAAAGTGTTAGCCAAGGGCTCGGCACACAAGTCCTCAGCTCTTATTAAGCTGAAGCTGGGACCCCGTGCATACGTGGCTGCTGTTTTGTATTTTAAAGCACATGTATTCTGAGAATTATATTACCTGCTACATATTGCCAAAATAATGAACAGAAGTACTCAGAAATGCCATTCTTTCATCAGGGGGCGGATTCAATCGGATCACGAAGCTGGTTTCACGTGAACCGCCCATACCTGGGACAGGCAGCTGGGACAGTCAGTAACTGCAGCTGTGACAATGTAGGGGTGGGGTGTAACTGGTCTGGCTCAGGAGACAAGACAGGCAGTTAGTTGACCATGCTCAGGAAAACCGAGATGGTCTAGGCAGTAATAGGTTCAGCAAAATGGAAGAGAAGAAGCACCTGTCCAGCCCAGGAAATTCTCCAATAGTATTTGACTTTGGCTGAGGACTTGAGGAAGTAAAGACCACACAATTATAATACGCTTGGCTGCATGCGACCTGATTGCTTGAAGCACCAATGCTCGGAATGATATTTGCTGAACCTCCTGTCTTTAAGACAGCCTTAGACCAGGCAATGGTGGCCCACATCTTTAATCCCAGCACTTAGGAGGTAGAGGCAGGCAGATCTCTCTGAGTTTGAGGCCAGCCTGGTCTACAAAGTGAATTCCAGGACAGCCAGGACTGTTACACAGAAAAATCTTGCTTCACCCACCCCCGCCCCCCGCCACAAAAGCCTTAGTCCTTGTTTGACCAGGGACCATCCTATGCCTTGCATAAACTTGCACCTTACTCACAGTGGGCAGGAAACCAAACCTCCCAGTGACCTTCCTGAGGATGTAGGGGCAGCGTGTCTGGCAGGTGACTCCAAGAAAATCAAAATCAGTTTCTACTTTGTTCCCATGTGGGTGGCAAAGCCCCCAGAAGATATAAAGATACTGTTTCTGTTAGGGAACCTGTCCATGTGATAATCATGGAAGTGAAGAGAATATTTATCCATCTATACTCATTTCAAGCCAGTAAGCATGGACTTTTTTTAATGCCTTGTAGGGCTAGGGATGTAGTTCAGTACTTTCAGAGCCCACGTAGGCTTGATGCTCAGCACTGAAGGAGTTCAATGAAGTCTTGGATGTTTGCCTTCCTGGCAGCCTGGAGGCTTGGAAGCAGTTCAAATCGAGCATTGCTTATGTCTTATATTCTATATGTATTTTTCGTGCCTTATTTTTGTACAGTTGGTGTCAGATGACTGCCATTACTAATCCGGAAGTCACTGTTATGATCAATAACCTCTATCAGAATCTAGCAGTCTCTGTTTGCTTTCTGATAGCAGAGGACAATAATGATTTTTTTAAAAACTTGTTTGACTATTATTTTTTAGAGGTCTAGACATTTCTTTGTCCCTTGACCCACAGAGCTAAAAGATGACATTTGATCGACACCCCTTATGAAAAACTCAACTGATAGAAAACATCTAGACAAGGCAAAGCTCCTCTGTTAGAAAAAAGATCCAGGGAACTCATGGGCTATGCTGGTTTAAAGAACTTAACGCCATGAGCAGACACAAAAAAAGAGGAAGACCCACAGGTACGGACAAACCAGCGTTTACTTACAGAACACTTGAGGTGCAAAGGTTAAACACTGAATCGGTGAAAAACGTGGGGCTAAGATATGATCTAACCTTTCAACAACTCCAGAAGGCTAAAGAACACATACAAGCAGTGGGTTGCCAGACTCGATCTAATTGTCCTGAATCGGGAGCTTTAGTACAGTGAGTGAGTGGTTCTCAACCTTCCTGACGCTGCGACCCTTAATACAGTTCCTCATGTTGTGGTGATTCTACCCCAAATCATAAAAAATGTTTTTGTTGCTACGTCATTACTGTAATTTTGATACCGTCGTGAATTATAATGTAAATAATTTTGGAGAAGGGGGGATCCGCGACCCAAAGGGTTGAGAAGCACTGCTTTTGCTGGCAAATCTAAACCCCTAATTCACGGATAAAAATGGTTTCTGAAATAGAGTTTCCGTCCTTCATACAAAAATCTTTAAATCACTTAATTGCATTTTCTATTGGCATTCACAGCAAAGGCATCCAAAGGACTCAATTTTCACTTTCTCTTTTTCTCATAAATCAAGAGCACTGCCCAACTTGGAGACACAGCATTTCCCAACATGGTTCCCCTGCGCCCTCTAGTGGCCGAGATACCAGTGAGCGCGACAGGTTTCTCCAAAGATCCTGATCTGGGGCCAGATGGAAACAGATCTTCCCCTTCTACTTCAACAGCTGTAAAACCAGCTTATTCTTTCTTTTAAAAAACTCATACCCACACAAAACCATCAGATAACATGCCAAGCCATGCCATCTTCTGAAAACATTTCCAGGAAAGTAACCTTTGCCTGATCTCATTAAAATACTGGGGGGGAAAAAAACCCCACAGGACAGCAAAGTAGCCAAGGGGAAAAAAAGAAAAAGAAAATAACATTCGTTACATAATCACCTCTTCTCAACTTTTTATCATTTCATTGATTGCTTATAACTAGACGATCATAATGGCGAAACTCACTGATCTCCAGTTTGTCCGTGCCTCGTTTAGCGCTTTTAAAACACAGACTTAGAGCAGACGCATTCACTCCAAAACCTTATGCCGTAACCGAGAGATCATAACTGGTGGTCAGCAGCCAATTTCAGAGTCCAAGACCATGCTTCCCTTTCAATCAGCATCACTTAAAACTCTGGACTCCTCTCATCTCCTCCTGGAGAGCTGCGCTCCTTCACCGTCTGTCCTGCACCTACGCAGGTGCAGGCTTCCCGGAGCCAGGTTTGGAAGGGGCACGTGGTACCCATTTAGTCATGGGCATACTCAACCCCAATCAGCCCGTTTCAGTCTAGGATCGCCTTCATCATTTCATGCCAGCCGAGCATCGCACAGGCACATACCGGAGCCAACACACCATAAGAAAAGCAGGGAGGGTAGGCAGCGCCCACCTCAGTGACAGAGAAACGCGATCTCACAAAATCTGTGGACACGGTCAAGTTCATTCTGGGCCCATGAATCTTGTCTTAGTTCAAAGATGTCAAGAGCCTCACTGTGGGTTCCCTTGTGGCGCAGACACCACCGCCACCCCCATCACAAACCACCTCAAGATCTTTTCTTGGAATAAGAGCCGGCGCGGGGGGGGGGGGGGAATCCATATGCGGCGCAAGCCAGTCCAAGCAAGCTGGCAGGGACACTCACGGGTGTGCTGCTGTCGGAGAAGGTGTTCATGCTGACAGAGCTGCTCAGCTTGTCTGAAGAGACGGAGGGTGGGGACGGGCTTCTCTTCTCCAGGGGGTCTTGCCTCTGCAAGTACTCCCGCCATGCTCGCTGGATGCTGCGGAGAAACCCGGCAATATGTCACTGCCAGTCATCACCCACAGACTCAGAAGGGCACGGAGGCGGGGACTGGTTTTAGAGATGGAGAAACTCTAAGATAAATTGTGCTTCAAGAAAGAACGCTTGGGCTTTAGCTGCGTCTTTTTTGGCCATCAAGGCCGGATCTTAAAAACACTAACCACAGCAAAACCGACCAGACTGTCTTTCTCAGACTTGACTAGGCTAACTCAGCCTGAAAAAAAGTCAATTAAGTCAAAGGTCGGAGGGTGGGGGATAGGGAGGAGCATCCGTCAAAGTCAAAGTAGTTTGGGCACTAGATGATCTTGGATTTAGGGTACAACAACTATTTCAATTTCTCATCTTTGAGAAAAGCGAATAGTTGAGGATGCTACATTGATTTTTCTCACTGCATGACTTCAGAGGGTCCACCCGATGCCAAGGCTCTGGACGAAGACCACAGAGCACACTTCTGGGACTGTACTCGCCTAGACCTCAAGGTGGCATTCACAACACCGGGCAGTAAACCTGCACGGCCAGATGCCGTGGTCTGATGGCCCTGACATGGGGACAAGTCCCCAAGAATATCTTTTACTTGACACACTGTGGATTGACACAGGTAATAAAGACTCTCTGAGTGTCCTATGCTATTGAAGACACGAAAGTAACAGGTCCTTAGGTGGCTTTTTACTATTTCACTTTAGGGAGTTTATTATTTTTAACCTGGGGCTAATGTCAGAAAAAACAAACAAACAAACAAAAAGACTGTCCTGAAAAATAGGCACCTGTCCCACTTCTGAGCTAAAGTGAAGGAATTTTTCGTGGACCACCAGCTCCACACTCAGACAGTGAAATGTCCCAATTTGTGGGTCATCGGGGAAGGTGCTGGAACTTTTCCTGGGCATTTGGGCATGCACACCAGCTGCCAGGACTCGGTTTTCTAACATGATAAGGTAGTATCTGTCACTGCCTTTGCTAGACGCCTAGATGTACCAGGTCTTCTACTCTCTCCTATGTGAGCTGGGTCATTAAAGTTATTGACCTATGAACAAACTCGTACCTCTTCCTCAGGCAGAATTGAATACCATCAATTCTCAGTAGCTGGTGGATAGAAGGAACACAAAATGCCATCATATTATTGGACTGCATTGTTTTCCTAATTAATTGAGGTTTTATGAGTTATAATATTCAAGGAAAAGTCCAGAAGGAACCATGAAAGCAATGCCTTGGTCTCAGAGGCCTGACTTGAGCTGTGGAGCTTAAGAACAGGGGCTTATGCCTGGAGGTCAGATTACTCTTTTGAGATCCTTTTTCTGGGTTCCTTGTGGTTTGTGTAGAATTCTAAAGTAAAAGAGTTTTAATGGCTGTGGTGGTTTGAGTAAAAATGGCCCTGATAGGCTTATATATTTGAATTCCTGGTCATCAGGAACTGTCAGTGTTACTAGGTGTGGTGGCTTTGTTGGAGGAAGCATGTAACTGGGGTGGGCTTCGAGGTTTTAAATGCTCAAACTAGGCCCAGTCTTCTCTCTCTCTCTCTCTCTCTCTCTCTCTCTCTCTCTCTCTCTCTCCCTCTCCCTCTCCCTCTCCCTCTCCCTCTTCCTCTCTCTTCCCCCCTCTCTCTTTCCCCTTGCTGCCTGCTGATCCAGATGTAGAATCTCTCAGCACCATGTCTGCTTGCACACCTCCATGCTTCCCACCATGGTGACTGGTGTTGGGGTCCACTTGTTCATTCCCAGCTGCCCAGACCTAAAATAATCACTCAGAAACCATATTATTTGTAATAGTGTTTAGCCAATAGCTCAAGCATATTTCTGGCTTACTCTTGTATCTTAAATTAACCTATTTCTATTATTTTATATTTTACCACAAGGCTCATGGCCTACCAGCAAGGTTCCAGCTAGCAGCTCCTGTCTTTCTCCTCTGGCGGCTCTATGGCTTCTCTGACTCTCCCTACTCCTATATGTGTCATTCAGCCTGGCTTTACTCTGTTAAGCCATTAGCCGAATGCAGCTTCATATTAACCAATAAAAGCAACACATAGACAGAAGGACTTCCCACACCAGGTGACAATGGACTAAACCCCTGAACCTGTAGGCCAGCTCAAATGAAATGCTTTCTTTTATAAGAGTTGCTGTGGTCACAGTGTGTCTTCGCAGCCATAAAACCCTAACTAAGACAAGGGTCCGCCATAAACTGTTCAGCCCCCTAAAGCAAGCTCTGACTCTGCTACGAATGATAATTGCTCTCTGTTTTATTGCTCACTGCTTGAACAGAATGCACCCTTGCTGAGTTTTTCCTCAGCTTTAAGGTTTTAAGCAGAATTTTAAAGACCTACAAGTGGCTAGTCACCTCATAGCTTCTTTGGGGAAAGTCTTCATTAGAGAGCTAAAAACTTTTGGAAACCATCAGCGAGTCATGAGATCTGATGTTATGGAGGTCCTCCAGGGCTTAGCAAATACTCCAGGGGCACTTGGGATAAACACTGACCATTAAGGTCTCAAAAGACATTCCATGTAAAAAAGAAGTGAAAAGTTAAATAATACATTTATGATCCATATAATATCCAAGAGTTTATAAGACTCCAAAGAATCCTTCCCTAGCCTTTGTTTAAAAAAAAAAAAAACAAAAACAAAGAAGTAAACACCAAGAAAAAAAAAAAAAGAAGCAAACACCAAGAAAAAAAAAAAAAAAACCTGCCTTGACCATTCAAAGGTGTAATTTGAAGGGATGCTGCACTTTGGCATGTTGAACACCAGGGGGCGGTGTAACTCTTTAGCGACCCAAACAATGTTGGCTAAAGTGAGGGCTTTGCAAAGGTGAACTTGGTTAAGCATCCCCTTTCCTTAGTTTTGCGGAATCCAGAGGATGACATTTTAATTTTCTGTAAGTTGGAGGTTAACAAGGAAGGATTCATTTCTTCTAAGTGTATAGACAGCTTCTTTCATTGACAAATTCTGCAACAATGTCTAATGCCTTTTAAATTGTACAAAAATATATTTACTATTTTAAAATATGTTTTAGAACATCTCTATGCCCTCTTAATCCCTTCATACATTTTGTGTCATTTTTGAACACCTAAAGTATAGCCATTGTGGACATACACAGAAACGACTCTATGTAGATGAAAGCATATTACCCTATTATTCTTGATCTCAATAATTGTAGTTTTAAAGACTGCATTGCAGATTGGATGATGCCTTTTTTCAGAGGTTAAGAATAGCAAGCCATTTATGTCACATTAGCCTACTGTACTAAATTATGACATTATTATATTTTAATGGTGCAGTCACGATATCAGTAGTCTCTGGGCCCAAGAAAAGTGTTTTTAGCCAACACTACTCATACCTCTACCATGCCCTTCAAATAGTAAAGTGTTTAAATATCGAGCCTTGTTAGTACCTTCTTCAACTGCTGGGGGAGGGGATTAAAAAAGAACATAGAAGCTGCTCAGCCACTCATGCTAGCTCTACCATAATTCCAACTCGCAAATCTCTCTTATGGATGCAGCATACAGACTACCTTGACATTTTTATTTTTAAAAATAAACTATGCAATCAATATAATGCTTTTAAAAACTGGTTGAAATAAGGGCGTATATCTTGTTCAGTCCAACATCTTGAAGTATAAGCATCATTCGTAATAGAAGCTGAACATTTTTTGAGGTCATTTTTCTTTTGGCTCTCAGTTCTTCTGTCTCTTTCCTCAGGCTGTTTGCTGCTTGTGATATAAGTCTGTTTATTTATGTCTATCTTGCAGCAGGGGGATGACAGTGGGTACCACCCTTATTGCTACCGAATATGGTAGGAGAGAGAAGAAGAGAGGGCTTCCATAGGAGGACTGAGATGCTCAGAGAAGGTTTGGGGAGTTCTGGGATTTGAACTGGGTCCTAGAGGGTGGATTAGGTTGAAGGGGGAACAGAGATGGCAGAAAAGACACGGAAAAGAGGATAGCTATCAGGCAGAAGGCCCAGGGAAGGTGGTGAAGCTAGCAGGCTGTGAGGACGGTTCCCTCACAGACTATGATTAGACAGCCTGGGTCTTAACTCTGTAACACTCTTCATGAGAAAAATAGAGATCTTCTGAAATGAGAGCCAGGAGTCCAGCACAGAGGAGAGCTTCCCCAACATGGCATCAAACACTGAAAGCACAGTCTATCAGATTGGGTCTCTTTCCCAGCAAGTCCAATTTCCTCCACAAGACTAAATTCCCCCGAGCAACGACCTCCCACATATATGCATCACTGTCTAGGTAGTTCTGGGATAACGGTGAGGAGTGATGAACAAATGTGTTTTTTCTAACATCATGTCCTAGAAATAGCTCAGAGAAAAAGCTCTACTTTACAAGGAAGTGTGTTGAGCATGATAGATGGTCCTGACTGGCCTGACTTCTCATTAGCTGTGGCCTTAAGCAAAATGCTAAACAGTCTGGCCTACTTGGTCTTCCACAACAGGAACATGTATTAGTTCTCTTCATGTCTGAACACCTGTCCCTTGGAAAGCAAAGACAGCCATGCCCCCCACCTCTGTAAGGATGCCAAGGTTGTCACAAAAGATATGCTTAGAAGAACAAGAAAGACAGCCGATGAGCAGGTAAAAATCTGCTTTGTGAGGGCTCCTGGGGGGCCCTGTGGTCCCATTCTCCAAGATTCCAAGCCTTGGAGCCACTTTAAAGGAGACAGCTGCCTAGGAGCTCGAGTGCTCACCATTGGCAGGAAACCCAGGGGTTTAGCACAGGGGAGGTAGAAAAGTCTGCAGTAGAAAGGAGAACAGGGAAGGAGCAGGGAAGGGAGGGAGGTGGGCATAGAGGAGGTGAAGGTGTAGTCAATAGGACGTGCACTCTGTGTGTGTATCTCTCTCTCTCTCTCTCTCTCTCTCTCTCTCTCTCTCTCTCTCTCTCTCTCTGTGTGTGTGTGTGTGTGTGTGTGTAGGGAAGATATGGAACCTACCCTGGGAGTTACAAATTTAATAACCAAATTAGACAAAACTCACTGAGCTGGAGTAAATTCTCTGATAGGACTAAAATTCCATTATTGGGCAAGATTAAGCTCTCTCCCATCAGTCCCCACCAGTGACTGGAAATGGGTTCTGAGTTATTAGGAGTGATAAAGAGCATTAATTTATACTTCACTGAACTGAGACTCCTCTAGCAAACCAGCAAGCATAAACTCACAAGGCCTGAGCTCTCTCAGCGGGCTGACTCGCAAACCGAGAGATTTCGAGAGATTTGAATTTTTTTCTCTACTTATTCCTCCTCTTCGCACCCACTCCTCTGCCTTGATATATTAAAGATGATGAAAACTTAAAAATAAAACTTAAAAACATTTCTTAACTTATTTCTATCGTCCAATGACTCTTTCCCGTTTCCCCCCATACGGCAGCTTTTCTCTGTAGCACCATCTCATTTAAAACAACCTCATCTTAAAGAGATGCCTAACACCCTGGCAACCTGTGCTCACATTTCAGAATGTTCAATAGCCAGATTCCTTCTATCAGGAAGCGAGGCACAGAGCTTCCTAGCAGGACACCCGGCTGGTTCAGAAGCTGCCTCTGGGCTGATCCTGAAGAGTAGGCTGGATGCTCACATGGTGGCCATCTTCTTAAGGATGTGTAAGGCTGGCGCAGGCTCACAGTGGTGGGGATGTCCCTCTTCACTCCTCAGGATACCATAAATCTGTCATTCCATTCCTGGCTAAATGTCTTCATCCGGGAATGAATTGCTGTTCAAATTCACACCCCCACACACCCTTCTTCCTCGGGCTTCTCTGCAAACGATCTGTGGTTCTCAAGTTCAGACATGTTTAAACTCTGTGGGTGTTAAACTTTTGGGGTTTTAACAGGGAATGGAAGATTGCATGTACCAACCAGCATTGGTAATTCTTCTTTGTGCCTCTGAGTGAGACTCGGATTATCCTTCAGCACAGAAATTAGTCATGAAGGGGATACTCTGCGGCACAGTGAGATTCTGATTGCTTCCTTCTCTACTTAAGAATACCTTTAAAAGGTTGATAACTTGTCTTATTGTCAGGGGCCATGAGAGTTACAGCAGGCGGCACCTAGTGTTCTGATGTCACCCCACCAGAGGAATGCTTATCTGATGGAGGGTAATCCTGTCCTGGCAAGGCCTGCAGGACCATAAACTTTGGAAGCTGTCGGTCATTCTGCTAAAGCTGTTTGGTGTCTCCCCAAACTACCGTCATTGTGGTGTGCAATCTCCTGTGATGTGTGTATGTAGTCTTAAGATTGCATCTCCATCTTATGGGCACACATATCTGTGGGTGGTCAGAAAGATGATTTTTCCTTTATCTTTAATNATATGGATATGCTTCATAACTAGATCTATTTATCCCATGAGGACTGTAGACACTTAAAAGCCTGTTTTGGTCCTTTTGGCTCAGACTAACTGCACACGATTAGCTCACTTTCACCTCAGAGCAAGTTCAAACTAAACTAAAGGCTTTTCGTAAATAGATCATAAGTTTGGAACTTTGCAGCTATGCACAAGGTCAGAGTTGCAGATGTCCAACCAAGGTTAGAAGAAAAGCATGGCAATTCTGGGCTTGCCACTCTGTTAACAAAAGACCAATGTCTCAAAGCTGATCTCACTTCGGTAACCATGGACCCTTGTGTTGCCATGGCAATGGCTCAACTCCCTATCGCTTGCCCTGGGAATGTGCTTTTGACCAATGAGAGACAACTTTTATGTTTTCTTTATCTCTTCAAGGCTCGTGGAAAAAAGAAAGTTTTGGGACTGGAGAGAGAAGAAGAGAGGAGAAAAAGCGAGGAGAAATTAGAAGTAGGATAACAGAATTGGAATAGATGCAGATGAATAAAGAGACTGATTTGAAAAAGCACGCAAGACCTTGTTCACCCTCAGGTTAGCCAGAGGAAAAAGTCCCTTTCATTTCTTGCAGCTTCCAATTTAGACCTTGAAAGGGCATTGAAGCTGGCCCCCAAAAGTCCTCATTACCTTATAATAGGGTTCGCTTCACTTTGGGTCTTGCTAGTGTCATTTTATTGATGCTGCAGTGGGATTAGGACAGTTTCATTGTTATCGTCACTTAGAGCAGGAGGTGGCCTCACACTGGTCTTTATTGGGTGAACTAATAAAGGGTGCAGAAGCATCATCCACCATCGTAAGAGCGGGGAAGATGTGTTTCCCCCCAACACTGGTGGTGGGAATGGGATCAGGAAGTAAGAAGGGTGTTAGAGTGCCGTGGTTTCACACACATGGAAGGTGGGGCCTCAAGGACAAGATGAAAGAATGAAATATGATAGAAAGAGCTGTGTGAGACCTGAAGGAAAACCCCAAACTGAGTGAATATTCCATCAAATTCTTCCTACCATCGCCTGCAGGTGGTGGTGTGGGCTAGAAGCAGCTTGGTTTCTGCCTCAGCCCTGACTGGACCTGTAGCACGCCAATGAGAATTGGAGAAGAGTGTGGGTCTGTGCTGATGCTCTGGGTGTGGTCAGGGGTACAGATGCACACAAACCTGCAGAATGAATTGATTCGTGTAACTCTGCAAGGACTCACATTTTCACTTTTGACTCCAAGGGCTGGAGGCTGAGGGGGAACTTCTCAATGTTGTTCTCCACATCCATGGCCAGCTGGTGACTAGAAAGAGAAAGAGCTCGTCAGTAACTCGACCCCGGAAGTTGTTGTTCACAGTGAAAACACTCCAAACTTACGTGGTTTTTTTTTTTAAAAAAAAAGGTGATGTGGATTTATTAACAGAATCCTAAACACTGGTGACCTCACTCTAGAAAGAAAATACTGCCTTTCTCTGCTGCCTCTTCTATCCTGTGTTCTCAGCTACTCAACAAAATGTTCCCAGCTAATGCATAAAAAAAATGGCCTTTGTGGGATAAATAAAGAAGAAATGAAGATCTTTCCTAGAGAGGGTAGACCGAAGGAGAATAGTACACACTCTGAAATGACTGGGACGTTGTAGAAAACTCAGTTTAACCCATACTTTCTTCTTATTTCTATCCTTTATTTATCCTCAAGGACGCCACTGCCAAGGAACTTCTCCCTTCATTACAGAAACCCCTAAGCTGTTTCTGAGCTCACACCGAGGAAAGCATGAGCTGTAGTCCCATTGTCACAGCTTCTTGTGGATGTTGTGGCCCCTGACTGGCTGCTCACTGGCCAGGCTGGAGGCTGTCCTTGGCTAGGTTTTGCAGAGCAGATGCAAAGTTGAGAGTGAAATAATAGGAAACATATCGTGGAGGTAATTTAGCAGAAGTGGATGTCAAAGGGGAAGGCTAGAAAGACATGATATGGAGCAGGCAGGACATGCAAAGATTTCGCTGTCATAATGTAGCTGGGAAACCCAAAGCTCGGTGAAGTTTATTTCACACTGCTGAGAGAGAACTGTACTGACCCTGTCTTGCTACTCATCCCTTGCAAGACACTGGCTGGAAGAGCTGATACCAGGCTTGAGATACTTGCTCCAGCCGAATGCAGTTGAGAGGTTGAGTCTTTTATAGTTTTCTACAGCACTGTCCAGGACCCATGCCTGTTCTGCTGGCTAGTTGCCTGTCAACTGGGCACACAGTTAGAGTCATACGGGAAGAGAGAACCTCAACAGAAAAAGGACCTCTGTCAGATTGGCCTGTCAGCAAGTATGTGGGGGCACTTCCTTGATTATCAATTGATGTGAAAGGGTCCACCCCACTGTGGCCAGTGCCACCCCTGGGCAGGTGGGCATGGGAGGTAGCTGACCATGAGCTGGGAATTAGGTCAGGAAAAGCATTCCTCTAGGCAAAGGGTCTCTACTACAGCCCTTGCCTCCTGGTTTTTGCCTTGAGCTGATTTCTCACAAAGACAGCTGGTTACCCAGGAGTTGTAAAGAACCTTTACCTCCCCAAGCTGTTTCCGGTCAGTACTTTATCACGGCAACAGAGAATCAAACTAGGGCATCCTTTGTAAAGTACAAGCAAGGAGGGGGTGTGGAGCCCCAAAGATGTGAGCCCGTTTCCGCGGTGACCAAAGGTCAGAGTTGGAACTCACCTCTAGTTCCTTCAAGGTGACTGTGCTTCTACTTCAAAAATCCCACTTAGGTGTAGACCAGAGAGTTGGCCTCTCTCAAGGTTATTGCCAACAGGTGTGGCTAATAGCCAGCCCTTGTGCTCCAGGAATAGAGAAGGAAACCTGTTTCTACCTCAAACAAAAGTCTAAGGAATCAACTAAGTTCCTGCTCCCTTAAGGAGATAACTTTGGATTCCACTCAGGGATTGATTTGCCCACAGAAGGTGTTGTTCTAGGGTGTGAGCAAGACTTGTTCTGTTCTATCAGCAGAATGTTTAACTATAGCTGTAGCCCACAACCTTCAACTGGTCTGTTCATTTCCGTAGATCATTTTGAAGCAAGTTTTTTTTCTTACTCCTACCTTTTGGGGTCAGGGGTATTTTAAGCAGTTGGAAATTAAATGCGGCTGAATTTTCGCTACTCACTGGAACTCCCTCTTGATACTCGTGTCTTCATATTCTTTACTATACTTCTAAATCCACACGCCTCTACCCTGGTGAGAGGTGTTTTTGTCGAGGCTGGTCCCCAACAGGTGTGTGTGTGTGTGTGTGTGTGTGTGTGTCTGACAAAATTAATGCTGTACTTTGATATTTTTGTGTGTCTAGGTTCCTTCAAAGGTCAGTGGTGTCCTGCCAAGTTGTGAAATGCCACCAGTATACGGGGACCTCCAGTAAGAAAGCCAGGGCTGCCGGGGAGCAAAGATTTAGAGCAGGGAGTTTGGAGGGGAACTTCGAGACTGGTGCAGGGGATCCATCAGGGAAACGCAGATAAACTAGCTAAAAGGCCACTCAAATGAATGAGAACCCTGACAGAGACCGCAGGAAAGAACGGTGACACAGAAGGAGGAACATGTCCTAGCGCTAACCCTTTAGCATCACATGGGTATGTCTTCTTTCAGCCATCTAGTGAGGAAACCTGAAGAGACAGGCGAATTCTGTACAGCCACTAGGTGGTGCCACAAGCCCAAAAGAGCTCCGCTGCAGCACTGCCTGATGGTTGAGGGGTAGACAAACCTTCTTTTACTCTGCAGCACCGTTTGCAGCATTTGCTGTTAATTCTTTATTATCCAGCCATGTGTGCCCCAGGAATGATTCAAAGCATGGGGTCAAAACGGTGAAAACACTATCCATAGTCCCTGTTCTTTCAGCCTGGGAGGTGTGTGTTATAAATGTGTGCAATGTGTACGATTATGTGTAAGTGTATCAATGTTATTAAAGAAGAGGCATAAATGGACCTCATCCAGGGAAGAGGATCATACAATGATGCACTTCACAATCACGTGACCTGATAGGGGTAGCAGCCTTATAACCAGGGCCTTTTAAAGTCTGATTCTATTAAGCATCCCATTAATTACAAATTAGCAAATTTGCAAAGAGTACCTGCAAAATAGGGAATATAGCCTGCGATTGCCAAAGACAATAACAGTGAATTTTTGCTTAATAAAGAAAATACTTATATGGCCTAATTTTGGCATATAAATTACACATCACCAACAAGCTATAAGTGACAAACATCTATTGGCTTAAGCTAGCTAGTACTAGAGCATCTTATCAATGGTTAATCAAGTCATTATATATCAGTACAATTGTGGAACAAGTAATCACAAGTCTTCCACCAGAGAAAGAGCCTGGTTCAATAATCACAAAAAAGCAAGGCACTCAGACTAAGGTCTTACATAAGTTAATAAGTAATTATCATTAACAATCAACTCCCAAGAAGCCTCCTAATTAATAGCGTACCAATTAATCGCCTCTATTTTTGGACACGAGCCAAGCTCTATTGTGTCTGTGTGTATGTGTGCACGTGTGCACAGGCGTGCACGTGGAGGTAAATGCTCTCAACCGGCCTTCCACGGTATGGAGCTGTAGCCTCCCTGTCCTTCATCCTGTCTACAACAAAACCCTGTTGAGCACTTGGAATAAACGTGATATTCCAAGGGGAATAACCAATCAACGGTTAGGGCACCATGATCACTTAACTGACGGTCATTTTGAATAGCAGAGGTGATTTACATCGACACCTAAGTCAGCTACAGCTGTAACGAAATGCCTGGACTGCTGTCTTGAAGCACCCGAGGTTTTTCAATCAACTCTGACAGTTATCAAGGACACAGTGCGGCCTGGAAGCAGACCAGGAAAAATTTCCAGCAATCTATGCAAATGTAGCAAGAAATCCATGTAAATGTTGTGGTCTGGTGCCCATTGCATTTTTTCCCTCTGTAATTGATAAGCAGGAAAGAGACGGTTTCTTTCGAAACTTTTCCCTGTGTGGTAGGATTTGTGCTTGTCTGTGTTCTTTGAGGGGAACCGATTCCCATCCCTAGAATCTTCCTTCCTCACAGGAGAACAGAACAAATCTGCAAGACAGCCAGGCCATTCTCAGCAGCTTTTAGCTTTCCTGGGTCTCTGGCTGGCACAAGAGAAAGAGTAAGATGGTATTGACTGGGGTGGGGGAGGGGCGGGGGAAGGGTGAGGGAACAACTTCCCCCCCCCCCCCCCCCCCCCCCCCCCCCCCCCCCCCCCCCNACACGTACTTCACCAGTTCACTTGTCCTCCCGAGAGCAGAGAGCTGGGGAATTTTCATGTTGTTTGTACTGAGAGATTTAATAGGGAGCTGTGGTCAATTAGCAAGGAAAAAAAAAAACAACTTTTGGAGTTCATTTCCTACATTTAAATCAATAATGAAAGCCAGATGTAGCCAGGTTGGATAAATGAACGAGCTGACCATCACAGAGGCAGTGCGTCCTCAGAGAGCGCGGCTGCTCTGGTTGTTTACCCCAGCTCCTCCTCAAGAACCACTTGAAGAGGCCAAATGCTGTCTCCAGGACTGCAGATTCAGTTTGTCTGGGGTGGGGCTTGAGTCAGAACATTTTTGTTAAGCTGACTCTAAATACCTAGATGAAGAAGCCTGGTTAGAGCTCACGTCATTGCAACATGAGACTCCATAGAACAACAACCTTTCCAGAACGAGCCCAAATCGTCATTATTATTGCTTACATATACCTAGTGAATGTGCTCATAAGCAAGGATTAACTAGTTTTAAAATTAGGTTTATTTTCAACTAGTAGGTAATGCGTGGACATGTTAAGGTTGGCAGGCGGCTCAACGGTTACAAATACTTGCCCTGTTATCGTGAGGCCTAGGATCTGACACTACCATTTCTGAGACACAGAGCCTGGTACAGCCCTGTGACTTCGGCTCCCACAGGCAGGATAGAGACAGAATGACCTTTGGGGTCCTCAGAATTTCAGCCTAGTCAAGAAAACACTGGCAAAAGGTCCGTGGAGAGACCCTACTCAAAGGAATAGACAGAGAGATTGGAGGAGGCCCAGTGCCTTCTTCTAGACTCCGTGTTCCCACAAAGGAGCGAGCACGCACACATATGTGTGCGTAAACTCACATACATGGAGACTCACACAAACAAGTAAGTTTCTAAATCATAGGCATTATTGTGATGTTTTCCAAATAGGCATATATTATATGGTATTTAAATTATCATTTCTTTATGATAAAATTTTTACTATAAATTCTTCTGGCATTCTTTTGAAATATACCAAAGTGCATCATTAGCACACACTTCCCCATCCCTCTGGGCTGCCTCCCCCTGTCCCCCCGCCTGTGGAAACTCCATTCCATTCTCCACTCCCATGAGTTGAAACTTTTTAGATTCTACCCTTGAGTGGTGTAAAGGGTTCTTCCAGCGCCTGGCTTGCTTATTTAATAGAGTCTCTCCAAGCTTATCCATATTATAACAAATGACAGAATTTTATTTTATTGATGCATAATATTCCATTCTGTCTATGAGCACATCGTCTTTATCTCCTCACTGCCCCTGAGGCTGCCTCCATGTCTTGGTGGTGTTAAGCCATGCTGCAGAAGGCGTGGGAGTCTCTTGGTAGACTCTACTCATTCCTTTGGATGTTGTATATTTAGTAATGGAATTTCTAGATCATGAAGTAGTTCTACTTTGTAAGTTTTGAGGGACTTTCACAGCATTTTCCATAATGGATAAGTTCCTTTATTCTTATTTACTCATCTTATGAGGCCAGGCATAACAATAATGCCCTAAATCAAATGAGCAAGCAACTCAAAAACTTCATCTAACCAATAGCGAGAAAACTTTCCTTCAGTGATGACATGGCAAGGCCATAGGCCACAGAAACGGAAAAATCTGAGAGTCCCTGCCCAAACATCCAGCCAGATGGAAAGGGCAGGGAGCTGGCACTGAGGCTCCCATTGTCTCATTTGATGACTTCAGGAAAATTTCCCAGGCAGCAATGATATCTTCTCTTTAAAGATGCTTGACCCTGGGGCTCTGATGGTTAAATGGTGCATCCAGAGTCACAGGGGTAGGAAAAGGCTGGAAGAGAAACCACACCTGAGGTGCTGCACCTACGGGAGTCTTTTCTACACCTGAGTGTTTTCATTCCTCTCTTCTAGGACACCCTTTGTGCCTGTCACTCAATTTTGAATGAAAACGTCTGCTCTGGTGTGGCTCGAGATAGTGCTTCAAAATCACTGTCCTTCTTGTTACTAACATGGCTGTTTCCATAAACCCTGTTCCATAATCGTTGTTCCGCTTTCTAGAACAGAAGAGCAACTTAGCTGCTCCTTAAGGACCATCCCTGTAAGCGTTTAACAACAGCCATTGTGTTCCTGCTGAGAGTCTCCTTCTTTTCCCCAAGCCCCTCGTCCTTACTTCTTCGTAGTCGTTTGTGTGAATTGAGAGCTCTCGTGGTTGCAATTTACCTACTTTTGTATTCTCAAGGGTACGAACATTCTTCTTTAGTGTCCAGAACCCCACAGGGCACGCATCCATGTAGGTAGTACGTGAGGACTCAGTTGAGAATTCAGCTGATGGTTGACGTAAAGAGGCCTCCAGAGCCAGGTTTCATCCTCATCTGTACGAACTAACCAGCTGAGTATACTGGGACTATAACTGACCCTTCTCTGAGTCTCCTCGTTTATTGGTGAAAAGGTCATAATCCTGTGTATGTCAAAGGCCAGAGTCCGAGTCTGTTGAGCAAACCTCTGCTAAGCTTTAGTAGTTCAGACTGCATTTTAAGTCCTCAGTAATGGATGGCTATCTTCTCTGCCTTTGTCTTGATGAACCGTCTTTGTTCATCACTTGGATACGTTAATGTTTCAGAATCCTTACAAAACTACAAGCCATGTTAAAGTTTGATAAACCCTTGAAATCTTTGGCCTCAAGTTGAAATCAGGATAGAATTCTCATACACTCTAAATAGTATTTGATTTCAGAATGTAACTGTAAGATACTTTTATCTTTCTGTTTTTAGTTTTATTTCACGTTGAAGTGCTATTTTGAATGTACACTCTATTAGCCTAGCTTGGCCTCGCCTTGTGTCCAAAATTATGCTTGCCTTTTGTGGCTAAAACCAAACAGAAAATGGGACAAGCTTCAGACTCTCGGACCTGTACAGCGGGCGTCTATGCACTTCATTGTGCAGCTAAACAGCGGGACCAGCCCTAAGCTATCTAACTGTCTCTTAAACACAGCATCCTTTTTAGCCAAAAGACACCATATGCAACTGTCAAAATTGCTTGTTCATTTTTGCCTGGTCAGGATTTATTTTTCGTGTCATCTCTTCAAGCTTGCAAATAGTTTAACTTCCCTTGAACTCTTACTTACTTCTCAAGCAAGTATTTTCCATCGTCCACTTGTGCTAAAGGATTCTGTAGCCTTTTTAGTTCTTCCTGTAAAAAAGAAAAAGAAATCAATAATTGCTAACTTGGAATTTTGGCAATGTTATCTGAGGGTGGCTGTTAGCAGCACTGAGACAAGCCACTGTTGAGTCTGGAGGAGGAAGCAGCAATTGTTAGGTCCTTAAACACTCATTACGGTGTAAGCCCTGCTTCAACTCGAATACAGTGCTATGGTGTAAATAGACTGATTGTTTTCATCCCTAAGGAGAATGCTTCCTGCTATTTTTCCAGGGTGGGTATGTTTTTATGAATCTACATACAGACACTCGTCCTAAATTAATGAGTCCACAGTAGTTTGCTGTTTGCTGAATTCGGCTCTCTCATGGATGTGTGCTGTGTTTGGCCATATGACAAACCTCTCTTTTCTCTGGGTAACCTTTTCTATGTAGTCCGCATGAGCACTTGTACACACACACCCCTCTACATTTTTAATATCTGCAGTCACTGGGATCTCATTAACTACAGGTATACTACAGAAGTTGACACGAGTTCTTGATGGCACTGCCAGCAAGACTTCAGTCTTAAAGTCATGGAAGAGGAAATATAAAGCAGGCCTATAGTTTTCGGTTCCTGAGAAGACCATTCTCTGAGGCAGCCATGCTATGCAACCTGATTCCTGAAAGTGCTGAAGTGACCAGTCCCCAAAGCAAGTCACAATCGGAACTGAAATGATCCCCCGCTGTTGGAGGGGTATTGGTCTAGGATTTTGAAGGACCCCAGCATCCCAGGTGCCCAAGCCTCTTATGCAAAGTGGCGTGATGTTTGCCTGTCTTTGTATATACCCTACGTGTCTCTTGGCGCACACTTGAAATCATACCTGCACTGCAGGTTCTGCAATTCCAGAACTTGACCCTCCCCCACCTCTCTCCAGGCCCTCTAGCCTTTCCACTGGGCAGTTTGCAACTTCAGTCCTCAGTAGCAGAAGCCTCTTCCTTGAATTCCTTTGAACACTCCCTAGATTATCTTGTTTTAGCTGAACCATGCCTTGAGGTTCTGGGAACAGCTAAGTTCCTCTGAGAGCAAAATCAACAGACTGTTTAGAAAAGAGTTTCAGCATTTAGGGGATTTTACCAATGACAAACTTGGCTGAGTGTCAGGATGCCTTTTCCCGAAGCCCTCTGAAGAGGGAACCATTTCTTCTATGTGAGCTACATGCTACGTGGTCCTGATTGTGTCTTCTCGATTCCCTCAACTCCTCCATAACCTCAGTTCCTCCGCAACATGCCAGCTACGCACTCTGGGTTTTGTTTGCCCTGTCTGTCATCCTTACTGCTATTGACCCAACTTCTTACGGGATTTCATCCAGTTTAGATAGAAAAATAGGTAGATGATTGACAGGTAGGTAGGTGAGAAAACTATATAGAACATCCTTCTCAAATTTGTATTTAGCATTTTGCTTTTACAGTAAAATTCCTCCTTCAGTTTTAGAAACTTATTTTTTACACCTGTCTTCTTTTCTCCAATCCTTCCCTCTTACTCTGTTGTCCCATGATGCCATAATCAGTAATGCAAGTTGTATAAATGGTAGTTCTGAGACCTGCTTTTACAGAGAATGAATATGAGGTGGTGGCAGTGGAACGGGGGATGGGTTAGTCCTTAATTATCTTCAAAAGCCAGAGGTGAATTTGTAGGTGTTGCTCGTCTATTGACCCTCCACATTATGGTTAAGAAAGAGCGCCAGCGCTTGGCAGACCTCGTCCTTTCTTGTCCGTGGTGTGCTGTGGTGTGCACCGTTAGTCTCCTATCCTAGGGCACTCAGAGAGGAGAGCAGGAAGGAAAGGGTTTTCCACTCTGTGTCACTCACTTCCCTCCATCTTTTCAGTTCTGGGAGTCTTCTGGGTGGGACAGGCTGTGACAGGGTGCTTCCTTCAATCTGACTCTCAGTGTTCTAGGAAATTATATTAAACATATGGTCAATGACTAACCCAGGCTTCCTGAGCAGCTGCTCTGCTGACTATTTGGAGATTGATTTCGTCATCTGGTTATTTAAGCTAACTATACAAAGCACCCCATTTCAGTTGACCTGGAAGTTGCAAAGCCTATCCTCAATTTTCTCAGAAATGAATTGGGAAGTTGGCTTGCTCAACAATCCCATGGGGAGTTTTGTCTTTGAGGAAGTTCTGTGTTGTCACTAAAGACATCGACAGAGAGACTCTGCCATCATGACTTTCTCCCATTAGTCTTACCTGTGTCTGGTTTTGTATTTGACAATGTTTTTTGTTGTCATTGTTATTTTTCTTTTCAGAAACCATCGGTAGCTCCTTGATGCTGTTGGATGGATTCCGTCCCATGGCTGAGGTCTTCATACGGTAGAAGCCAGCCTGCCTCTCTCTGTTTTACCTCCTCTCTTCCTGTACCCCTGTAAGCCTGCTCAGGGGAAAGGCCACACGGTTTCAGAAGCCACATGTTCTCCTCCATGACATTCAATGACTGAGTCTTCTCACCTTTCTAATAGTTCAATCCCATCTTCCTTCAGGAAGACTCTAACCCCATGCCTCTCTGCGGAGATCTTCCCAATCCTCTAGAAGGGTTCTTGTCTCCAGCCGCAGTTCCTCGGCAACATGCCGCCATTCCAGTTTTCATTTTACTCTTTGCCTGCCTCCCCCACGATATTCCTGGGGGTCAGGGCTGCTGTCTCAGTCACCTGGCATACCTACCCCCAGAAGGAAGCATTTGTGGCTTAATAAACACATGTGGAGTGAATGAATCGAATCTCTTGTGGCAATGGTGCAGACACTTTACGGCCCGAGGCTCGCAGCCTCCTCTCTCACGCGGTCCCTTTACCGCTCTCCACTCTCCTCTGTGGCCTGGGGAACTTATGACTTGGGTTTCTATCAGCTATGTCCCTGTGTTCACAGCTCTTGGGAGGCGGTCACCAAGACAAATGAGAGGAGCCGAAGGAAGAAGTCAGCAGATTTATGCTCTTGCCGGAACACAGCTTGACAGGAGGTGAAGGCCGCAGCTCCCAGTGGCCTCTCTCTCATGCCATTTCCAGGCCTAGTCTCACTACTTCTCCCTCTCCTTCCTCCTCCGGCATCTTCCCTTCCCTCCAGCCCTTCCCTTACTTTCTCTCCCTTCCTTTTCTTCCTCTCCCTCATTTTCCCTTTCCCTTCTTTCACGCAACCCCTGGATGGCTCCAGATTCTTCCCCAAGCCTGGAGTATTAACCTAGACCCTGCCCTCACTACCTTGTACTTTTGAAATCACCCTTTTAAATCAGTTATCTGCTTTAGTCCCAGGCCCCAGCTAAAACGCCAAGAATCCCATGTTGCTTTTGTTTGTCCTACCTGGCCATCCCAACAAGCACAAGGAACAAAATTAATCAGTCATATTAAATAACAAAGTAGTACATCCACACAAAGATGGTCCCTTGTAGGAGAAGCTGTCCCAACCCAAAGCTCCAAACTCACTTCACAGTTCAGGTTCACCCCGCCCCCCCCAAAAAAAATAATCGGGCAATTCCTACCCTACTCTATTTGGCTACAAAAAATGGTAAATTCAATGCCTCTGCAAAATACAGGTTGAATTACTCAGTGCAACCCACATACACAGCCCTGCAAATTCTTCCAAATGAAGTCTGTTATGAGTGGTGAGGGAGCGTAAGCTATACCGTTATGGTAAGTAATTGGCCAGCTACTTGTCATGTTACCCACTGCCAAGAGAGTTTTTGTGAAGTAACTTGCAAGTGAAATATTAGAATGAATGTCCGATAGGGTATATGACTTCCTGCATCTGGCCTCCCCTTCCCCCCCCCCAATCTTGCCAAATGTCCTGTCAAACACAGTGGGACAGAGGCAGGAGACTCTGGCAAATTCATCTCTGTGGCTCTATGCTCAGCTACTGGACCTGCTCAATAATCAAACGGTCTTATCGATTTGTTCTCTTTATTTTTATACCATCTATGTTCTAAATAAGTAGGGCTATGTTGTTTGGATGGGTTTAAAATCAAAAAAATCTTTTCAATATTGCTTTTCCTCTAACATGCACTTATGTCTAAATACAACCTCTTAACTCTTTGGAGTTACACTATTCCCAGCATGCCCCAGAGCATCTAGGGAAAGCTAAAATGTGAACACAGTCTACAGTTCAGTTCATTCTGTGGCGATGGGTGACAAAGCCAGTGACACTCACATAAATCAGCTTTTTTCTGTGTGTGTGTGTGTGTGTTGGGAATAATTCCATATTAACCTAAGGGTAACTATTTAACAAAAGTTAAAAGCCAAACGTGCTTTTGATGCTTTTGACTACTTAATCATTCAATTAAATATTAATAGGTTTCCTCACCAATCCCCCCGCCAGATCCTTTTTTTAAATGGAAGTATAATAAGAGCTCTAAATGGGGGGCTACTAATGTTTGCATAATTTCGAAGAGTAGAAGACATAAAATCTATACTAATTTTGGCTCTGCATCATTAAACATGAAATATTGATTATTGCACTTTGTACTAGGGTTTATGAAGCTAGCTAGGCTGCTGTGTCCACATAAAGTAGGTCTGATGTCTTGCCCTCGCACCCCAGTGGCCGTAAATGATGCCCCTTGGTGGCAGCTGGGAGGCAGGCCTTCTGATCCACAACCTTAAGAGATGCATTTCCCAGATTAGACCAGGGATGACCCAGCTGCACAGCGCAACTTCAGAAAATTAAATTGGAGGGAGTCCAACCTCTGTTGAAATAACTGTGAATTACAACGCGTCCATGGGCCTTGTTATAATGTAAATGTGCTTACAATTTACCGCCATTTCCCCCATCCCTGCTGTGAATATGGGCATTAATAGTCATCCCATATATTTAAAGGCAAAAAGCCATCAAAAATAAAAATGCAAGACTTAAGCTTTGGAAAGACTCCCTTTGGAAGAAGGGAGACGAGTTTTCTTCTTCTCCTTTTTGCTGTTTTCTTTTTAACGTTTTTTTTTTTTTTCTGTAAAAAGAGCACGCAGTTTGTTTATGTATTATGCATTCAGGATCTTTATGGCTGGCAGACCTCTAAATCTCACACCGGGACGTTACCTAGCAGCTGAACATGAATTTCCGTGGGAGGAAAAAAATGGCTAATGCGACATCAACAGCTCATTTAAGGGGCGCATTCGGGTAAGTTATGGGCACATCGGTGAGTGGTAGACTTTAAAAGACACTCTCCTGTTTCCAGCACTCAGAGGACAGCTTGACAGTCAGTCACTTTGCTTGCAGGGCGACTGTGACTTTATGGCCATGGCTATCAATCAGGAGAGGGACTGAGTGAGTGTGGGCCTCCCTGTGCCTGTTCACAGCAGGGTTTCTATCCACAGTAAACTTAGGGACTCACTGAAGACACACACGAAGTATATCATCTCTATTCCTGTCTGGCCAGTCAGGGAGACGCCATGAGCCACCGAAGGAGACAGATACCCCGGAACCTTACTGGTAAACCATGAGCCTTGTGGTAAAAACATAAAATAATAGAAATGGGTTAATTTAAAATGTAAGAGTTAGTTAATAGACCTAAGCTAATAGACCAAGCAGTGTTTTAATTAATACAGTTACTGTGTGATTATTTTGGGTCTAGGCAGCCAGGAAATGAATAAGCAGCCTCCATTTACAGAACTGGCACCACCGTGGGCAACTAAATCCACATAAAACCTGAGAGAACTTGGGAAGTAATTCTAGACACAAAAGAACAGAGTTAAACACAGCTTCTTGGTAGCTGCATATATTTTCAGATAGGCTCTGCCTGCTGGTGGTGCGCAAGCAAGTATTTCGTGGCTCCTTTTAAGAGAAGGCTTATTGACTCAGCATAAGAAACATACAAGAATTCTGGCTCTTTCAGGAGGCCAAGCACTTGAATGGGGTTTGTGGGCAGCATGTTACAAGTTACTTAGTGGTAGCATGGGCCAACTGCTTCTCAGAGTTGAGGTGGTGAGCAAGGCTCCCTCCCCATGGTCCCAGAGCTGGCAGTGGGCAACCTCTGCCATGTTAAAAGGCTGAGAGAGGAATATCCGTGGCCATATTCCTTACCATCTTAAAATGCTCTTTGTCAGAAAAGGATTTCAGATACACAATAGGACAGATTTAGACATAAAAGACCTCTAAACAAGACACAGTGTGTTTAAAAAAATGTACATAGGCTTGGGAGAGAGAAGGGAAAAAAAGAAACAGTAAATGTAATATAAAAGAGTACAGACAATCGTAGATTAAAGGAGTAAAAACAATAAAATAAATAAGGCCAAGCAGTGTTTGAATTAGTATAGTCTCTGTGTGATTATTTCGGGTTGGGGGGCTGGGAAACAAATGAGCAGTTTTCATCTACACTGGTCAGTGTTATTACATGCACAGGATGCCCTAGATTTTGACTGCCAAATATGAGTGTTGAACAGTCAAACTCATTTGAACAAATGCCAAGGGACCATGTTATATAAAACCCGTTTTAAACTTCTGAGTCATTGTCCAAGGTCCCTGGGTGTGAGATGATTTCAGTCCTTGGGAGCATCTTGGAGTGTATGGTGTTTTTAGACAGACACACTGACAATGATGTCATCCAGACCAGCCTTTCATCCACATTGGAATAAGCTGCTGGGGTCAGTCAGCCCCATGGTATTTTGAAAACTATGCTTCAGAATGAAAAGCCCTCTCTGTTCTTTTGTGAGCTGGAACGTGTTCTTGCGAGTGAGCTTTTTCTAACTTCAGGTCACCGATATTCTATTGCTATCCCTGTAAAATGAAAACATTAACTGTGAAGAACCTTACACACGCTAATGAATCCAGAATGTAAAACTGTTAAACATTATCAGTCATGATTTCAAAGTTGTCCCTTTACTCAAAGTTTACTTAGGGGTCTGATGAGGAGACTTGGAGAATAAAGGCACGTTGTCAAGCCCAACAGCCAGAGTTCGAACCCCAGGGCCCCCAGGGTAGAAAAAGAGAATGGGTTCCCACTAGTTGTCTCAACACTCATACTTCAGTACTCACACACATGCATACGGGCTTCTGTGTGTGTGCACACGCCCGAACACACACACACACAATGTTTTCAAAAAGTGCATTCAGTCTAACAGCAGGATAGCCGTAAAAGAAAATCAGCTGAAACTAAACTACTAGGTATAAGTATTTTGCACTTTCTGCACTTTTACATTCTGGAGGGAAAATACCAAAGACCACGCTTCAGACTGAGAATTCAAATACAAAAAGCACACAGTCTCACACAGAAATACCTCTCAGAACGCAGACGGGATGGCAAATGTGGATAAGCGAGTCCGTGTTGCAACTTCACTTCCCCTGTGCTGTGGACCACAGCAAAGCGCTGGCAATCAAAGCAGCATGTGGTCCCCCACCCG